CCGCGAGGCTGAGCGCCGCGAGGGCCTCCGCGCCGCCGTCCTGGACTGCCTTCCAGCGCTTGTACTCGGGGCAATCCGTGGGCAGGTTCTCGTTGTACTCCGGGGGCACGCCTGCGCGCGGAGGGCCACCCAATGGGGAGCGAACAGGGCCGCGCGTGTGGGTCTGGCCGCGGGGCAAAAGGCTGAGCTGTGGAGGGAGAGCGGTCGGGGCGGTTTGCTGCACTGTGCGCCTCTGACTCTGCAAGGCGCTGATGCAACGTGGTGGCGCTGTTACCGTCGCTGCCGTCGCTGCCGCCGCTGCCGCCGCTGCCGCCGCTGCCGCAGCAGCTGGAGGTATATGTTGAGGGCCACTGCTGCGCCGCCAAAACTGCGTCTTGCACCGGGCTGCTGCCGTCGCCGCATTTGCCGCATTCGCCGCTGCTGCCGCTGCATTATGAGCGCCTCGGCGCTGCGTTTTTTGCAGAGCCGACCGCGCACCCGCCGGGAGTGCCAGCAGGGCCGCCACTCTCGGCCCATGCGGGCCTCTTGCCCCCCTAGAGCGGAGCCGCCGTCAGCGCTGCGGCGATGCGCACGGCCCATGCGCGTCTGCGTGCGCTGCCCCTGCTCCCAGGGGCTCTTTCCTCACCCAGCCGCCTGCCCTCTCAACTGCCCCCCACCCGCATTGCCCCCGTCGTTCACCTGTGATGGGGTCATACTCTACGACCCGGGGGGGCGTCGGCCCCACCCCCTCCCCCTCGCCGCCATCGTCGCTCATGCTGCTGCGGCCGCTGCCGCCGCTGCCGCCGCCGACCGCGGTCCTCCTCCTGGGCCCCGCGCTGCTCACTCAGGCAAGCGGGCCGAGGTTTGCACCAGGGTCTTGATGGCACTGACAATAATCTGCATTGATCGGGGCAATTTCAAGAGGAGTGCTCAGCGCGTTGCGGCGATGAGATGACGGATGAGGCACTAAAGGCAAGCGCAGCACAGTCGTGCGCGCCTGACGGCGCAGCAGCACGCTGCGAATAGCGCATGTGGCGAGTGCGTTGTGTGGCCCACATCACGAAATATTGTCACACCCACATGTATATGTCAGGACTGCGCGCGTGTTGCGGTTCTTGCGATGTGTGTGATCTTACTTGAGATCAGGCAGCTTCCGGACGCACGACACGTTGTGCAAGTATGTTGTGGCGGTACTCTGAATGACAATGAGCATGCTTGGCCGCATCCACACGTCTTTTGGACCCTGAGTGCCAGGTGACACGGGTGGATTTCAGGATCCCTTGTTTTCCTGGATCCACCCGCATACAAACCCTATTGTGGATGGGTACGGAATGAGTGAACTCTTACTCATACCAGACACGTTGGACGTAGCCTGTTGATCTCGTGAAAAGTTTGCGGGCGCCGCTTGCGGGCCCCGCACGGTTGTCAGCAAGCTGGGTAAATTAGCAGAGTTATTTTCGCGCAAGAAGCGCGCTAGCACGAGCCCGTCTCTGATGGGATGCGGTTCGTCCGTCCCTGTTGCTGATGGCGCCCAGCAGAGGTAAGCATCGTGCTGTGAGGGCGTGAGGATCGCGTCGTTTCACACGGGCTGCATGGTGACGATCACCCCCGGGGGATTCGCGTCGGCCCGAAAGCGCCCCCATGCGGCGACATAGGCCCCAGCCACGGTTGCTGCGGTGACCCGTTCGCACAATCGCGTCCGGCGGGTGCGCAGCCTTGCAAGCAGCCACAGGACCCCCCGCCGGCTTGCGCTGCGCCAACCTCTTTCCCAGGCCCGGCCAGGCGCCAGGGCAGGCTGGTGCAGCGGAGCCACAGCGCAGCGCGGTGCCAGTGGGCAGCAGCACAGGCCTGCCAGAAGGGGAATCTCTCAAAGGGGGGGCCACGCCACAGGTACATGCTCGGGGCCAGCAGTAAACCCGCAGCCGCCCCGACCCGGGGGCCCGGCGGCTGCGGCCGACCGACCGGGCGAGCGGGACTGTTGCGGGCGAGGTGGCCTGCGTGCGAGGCCCCTTGGCCTCCTGCCGGGCACAATTTCAGCGCGTGCTGGTGCTGCTGTAGTAGAATTGCGGCCTCAAACCTGCACATGATTGCCGAGGCTGCCTGCTCGCACATGCAGGTGACGGCTGCACTGCAGCCGGAACCCCAGGCGGCCCCTCAGCAGCAGCACAAGCAGGAGGAGCAGCCACAGCAGCAGCAACCGCGGCAGCCTCAGACCCCCGCGCCTGGCCCCGCCGCGCCGGCCCCTGTGCCCGCGGACGCCTCTGCTGCGGCGCCGGCGCCGGCGGGGTCTCCGCAGCACAACGCGTCCGGATCCCCGGCCCCCTCTGTTGCGTCGGCCGCGTCCCTCACAACAACCGCCACTGCAGCGACGACGGCGGCGGCGGCGGCGCGGCGGCGCGCGGCGGAGCAGGAAGCCGCGAAGAAGGCGCGCCGCGCGGCGGCAGGGTCCGAGGTGCGCACGCGCGCGCTGGCGCTGCGGTTGGGGCTGGTTGTGGAAGCAACTACACCCTGCTTTTTGGGGAGGGGACACCTGGCATGGTAAAAAGAATACTCTGCGGTCTATAGCACGCTCTCACGGACGCGCGGCGTCGGGAGGGGGCGGAGGGAAGTGTCTGTGTATTTGTGTGTGTGTGGGACGGCAGGGCGCCCGCCTGTAGGCAGGCCGCACGCGCCCCCTAAGCTGCCTGGGCGGCCCCGCCGCAGCCGTCAAATCCACACCCAGACACCTGAACACAGCACATCAGTCCGGACTCCCTGCAACCTGCAGAGCCTCGCACATACACACTCGCACATTTGCACGCAAATCACGCACATCACGCACGCATGCGATGATATCGCACACGCACGCACGCGCACACATGCAACACGCGTGCACGCACGCACGCGCCCACACCACGCGTGCAGGCCGTGCGCGACCAGATCCGCCGCCTGGTGGTGGGCGGCCCCCAGTCCGTCGAGGACAAGGCGCGCGCCATTGAGGTCTCAGACTCAGAGGACGACGACCTAGAAACGGTCGACGCCGCAGCCGCAGCAGCAGCAGCAGCAGCAGCAGCGGCGTCGGCGACGGGCCGGCCGGGCAGCGGCGCGGCGGCCAGGGAGCGGCATGCGCCCGACGTGGAGGAGGCGCTCTGCCGGTCCCTGCGCAACAACTTCGTGTTCAAGGGCATCCCGGAGGACCTGCTGCACGAGGTGATGCCGCGTGATCTGACACGCGATCTGGCGCGCGATCCGGGGGCCGGCCGACCGCTCGAATTCCGGCCCGGCAGCTGCCTCATCTGCCCCGCTCGCCGCCGGCCGCGCCGCCTGACCTGTCCCCCCCCCTGTGGCGCCCGCCCCTTATTTTGCGCAGGTGGTGTGCCGCATGGTGCGCGTGGAGTTCCCGGGTGGCGCGACGATCCTGCAGCAGGGTGACCTGCCCGATGACGACGACCGCCTGTATGTGCTGGTGGAGGGGTCCGCGGAGGTGGTGATCACGGGGGCCGTGGACGTCAAGAAGAGCAGCGGGGGTAAGTCGTGGGAGGTCGATTGTGTGTGTGTGTGTGAGAGTGTGTGTGTGTGTATGTGTGTGTATGTGGTGTGTGTTTGGGATGCAGCTCCTTTCTGCTGGGAGTTTGCGGGGCAACTGTGGAGGGCGCACGCACTCGAGGCTTCCGCCTGCTCGCGTGCTTGCTACGCCTCGCCGCTTGATTTTGGAATGCTCCTGAGCACCACACAGCACCGCGAGGACGCAGCTGTGTCAACCAACTCCACACGCGCCGCCGCATCCCTTGATCCGCCCCCCCCCCCCACCACGCAACCCCTTGACCCCCCAAATCGCACCCCACAGCGCGCGAGGAGCAGCAGCGCGTGGAAGGCCATGCCGTGCGCATCCCGCAGTCCCCCGGCTGGGTCTTTGGCGACGTGGCGCTGCTGTTCAACAGCCCCCGCACGGCCAGCGTGGTGGCGTCGTCGGGGGTGGTGCTGTACGCGAT